AAACTTTTTCTGGTCTGGTTTATTAACGCGCTCTTTAAAACTACAGTTTATGGGAAACTTTTTTTGATGCCATGCAAGAGACATGCAAGAGTCAGGCTTGGTCGGGAAGCGGGAGCGATCGCTCTCGAATACTGACCACGGAAATTATATTTAGTTGCGTAAAACTGGCCAGGTTTTTTAGTTGTTTTGAGAACATTTAAGTTTATGTACGAAACAAAAAATTTTTGTTTTACGGACATACATGGAAACATAAAAAACTTGAATGTTCTCAAAACATCTTTGTGCGAAAGAATAAAAAGAATGTTTGCGAACACTAAAAACCCGCCAAATTAACGAACAAACTAATTCTATTGGTTCAAAAAATACGCTGATTAAGTGAAATAAAGTTCTAGAGTATTCTGTTAAAATGTTTTAGAAATTGTATTATTCACGATTTGTAACGTTTTGAGATTTTTAGCATTGTTTTAAGAATTTATATTATTTGTTTACGAAAATAAATGTTTTAAATATATATTAGTTAAATTGTTAAAATTTTCAAAGTTTATTATAAATCATAGATTTTATTAGTATATTCTTATATTTTATTTTAAAAGAGATTGTATTCTTTACGTAAATGTAATTTTGTGTATTTATTTTTTATCGTAATGTATCTTTTAAAGCAATTTTTATGATTTAAACAAAGACTTACAAAAATAATTGTGTTTTTAATGAAGTTTTAATCGTTAAAGTTAATAAAACTAATTATGTAACAAACATATAAGAAGTTTCTGGTTACTAAACACAAACAACGCATACAAAGTAACTCGCGGATGAACAAGCATCGCGCCTGAGGTCACGACAGAACACAAATATATATAGCAAATAATTAGATATAAAGAAAAATTTCTAGATATTGATTTACTAACTCTAATTATTTTTGCTTAAGTTGCCATTCTTAAAACTCGTTATACTTTTTTCTGCTTTAAACACTAATTAAAATTTAAAAGCCCACTCACTAAACATCATCAGCGATATTGTGAAGCAGTTTTGCTTCCTGGTCATTAAGTATTTTTAACCTTTTTAGTTGATTTCTATCTTGATAATTTAATTCTTATAGTAATTCAATGATTTAATTATTTTATTTGTTTATCTTACTAAGAAGAATCGCTTTAAATATGTTAAACTTTTCAAACTACGCGAAACATAAAATAGGTATTGAAAAAATTAACTTTTTTATTTATAAAATAAATTAAGCTTAAGTAAAACTAAAACTTGCAAACCTAGTTAAATAAAGAATATTTGTTTTCCTTTTAAACAATCTTTTAAGTTGACGGTTGTATGTTTCTATAAAAAGTTGATGTTTCTATAAAAAACATTGCTTAATTTTATAAAAAAAATTATAAAAGAGCGATGTTTCGAAAATATTTGTTTTAAATGTAATTTATTTAGCTTTAAATTTTTTCGCGTTTAAAGATATTTTATTTGCCTACTTTTTTTTTTTTGTAATTGTCTCTCGTCGGTCCAATTAATCTTCGTCGCTTTTTTTTTTTTGCTTTTTAAAATGTTCTCAAAACGACTAAAAAATCTGGCCAGCTTTTCGCAACTAAATATTATTTACATGGTCAGCAATCGAGAGGGATCGCTCCCGCTTCCCGACCAAGCCTGAAGAGCATATATATATATACATATATATATATATATATATATACATATTTATATATATATATATATATATATATATATATATATATATATATATATATATATATATATATATTTATATATATATATCATATTTTTTGTTTTAAAGATCCAAGTTATACATTTTATATATAATGTTGATTTTTAAAAGTTTTGAATATAAAGATTAGTTATAAAATCATGTTTTCATTTTTTTTATTTTATTATTAAATCTTCAGAGATGTTTATCCAAGCTTGTTTATTGTCATATGAATCTCTAGTATTTCCAGTATTAAGCAAAACACTTTGCTAAATGCATTTTGCATTAACATTATAGCAAAACTGTGTAGCATCAGGGTTATCTGAATAGTGCCCAATTTTCTTTTGAGCACTAAAATATTCCTCCATTGAATCTTGGCAAAATCTTGTAAGTATGTAATATAATATGGCATACCCTCACTTAGCAGAACTTTATAACCGTGTTATATATATATATATATATATATATATATATATATATATATATATATATATATATATATATATATATATATATATATATATATATATATATATATATACACACCATATCTAAACTACTTATAAACCAATATAGTTGTACAAGATCGCCTCTTGATTATCTATTTTCTAACATTAAGAGATTATATTGTAATATTACATGAACTACTACACTATAGTAATACATAGTAACATAAGAGTTTGTGATATAACGCAACGTCATTATGATATGTTTTAATAATTATTACATTCTATATATTATATGTAGTAATTGTTTACAACTTTTTTTTATCATCTGGCTTAAATTGCTTTTCACAAGCAAAGACTTTTCCAGAGTTGATTTGTTTTGTAACATATATAAAATACTCTATTATAAATATATACAAAACTGTGAAAAGCTGATAAAGCCTTGAGTCTACTGTTACTAGACTCTAAACCAGTAATATTTTAAATGCTTTAAAAATATTTTACATTGTTTATAAATATATAGTAAATAAAACAAAGCATCTTGTGTTTGTATATTATAATGAACTAAAATAGTAATTTTTCTTTAGTAAATATTTGTAAATCACCTGTTTAAATATTATCTGACTTGAAGTACATCTCCAGACTATCAACGAGTTTATAAAACAGTATTCAGTTATTTAATTTGCTCATTAATCTTAATGAGTAAACTAACTAAATGAATTTCTAATTTATAGTCTAATAAAGCAGAAAACGTGTTCGTTTCTTGCTTACGATCCGTAATTAATTAAACATTTTATTATCTCTAACAATGCTCTCTTTAAAAAATAGTGTAGAATCTATACTAACAATATAACTTCATTTTCAAGAGTTTGTTTAATGAACTTCATTCAAAAATCACATTATGTTACAAGCGTTATACAACATTAATAAGTTTGTGTGCACGGTCACGCTTGATTTACGCTCTATTTTTGTGTCAATAAGTTAAACAATGAATTTTACGGAGTTTCCAAACCATTTAAAGTCTATTAACTATGGTTAATGACACTGTTGAAAACTAAACAAAAGTATATTATATCTATTATTGTAACCATTACTATTTTAATCATCTCATAAGATGTCTACTTAATGTTAGTAATCTTACTATTTGTAAACAAACTTGAAATGTAACCAACTATTTCAGAAATATATTGATTAATTAATTGCCTGTAGCTTAATTTTGAGTCATATATAGTTTAATAAAAATTGTAGTCACTACACCACTACCACATACCTCTTATTTAGATTTGTCAGACTTATTTATTGTTATCTAATAGTGAAGATGTGAGATGTGTGTTGTTAAAGAAGAGTAAAATGTGGCTTGTTAAAAGTGTTATATATTCTAATACAGCAAAAGCTATGTATTAAATAGGTAAATAATTTGTAGAAATTGAAAATCTCCAGGCAGAATGATTAGCAAGTAAAATAATTTTTTGAAATTAGAACACACATCTTCCAATGAAAAAAAGCTGTAAAAAACAAAGAATCTGTGCAAGCATCAGGTTACAAAATATGATGGTAATACTGATTGGGGGAAGTGTGGTACGTGTCTGAGGTGGTTTCATCAATAAATTGAATTTATTGGTGATTCTGGAAAGGATGTATTGTAATATAGAAAACTATAATTGTTTAGGATGTAAGATTGAAGCAAATTTTGATATTTATATTTCTCAAAAAATTGCTTGAAAATAATGCAAAAAAATTCTTGAAAAGAGTTCTAAGTGAAGTTTAAGATATTGACTTTAATTGATTGCATATGATGATGATGTGTGAGGATGATGAAAAAAAAAAATTACATGGGATCTTATGAGAAGGCTGTTCTTCAGGTTTTTTATGAAATAAAGGTTCAGCCATAAGTTTACCATAGTACATATAAATTATTTGTGTGTAACCATTGCGAAACAGTTTAAAGAAACCACTACAAACTTTGTAGCATTATTGTAGATGATTGCACAATTAGGAATTTTTATGCGTATTTAGTATTTAGTAAGTTGCAACTGATTCTAATTAATAATACTGAAATGAGTGAGATTTTAAGTTACAAATTTATTTTCATACTTGCTTAAGGAATTAAGAGAAAAATTTATTGCATCCATTTAGGGATCAGGAGATAAGCTGTGACTTGTTCTAAAACAGTGCGAATTGCAAAACAAAGCTGATAGTAAACTTTTAGCTGCTAAAGTTAGAAAGTATGTTATATGTTCTGAGCAAGGTGAAAACTCATTTTAAAGAAAATATCTTTGTCCTATTTGAAGTCATCAGATTTAATATAATAAAATTTAAAAAGATTGAATTTTTAAACTAATACAATAAAATATTTATAAATGAATTTATAAGTTTCTAATTGCTATTATTGTATGTTTGTGTAAGATGTGTTTTGTTATGAAAATTTTTTATTAAATATATTTCCTCACTATATATAATTTTTTTAAATTTCAGATGCTTATTTGATTATTGGCTTAAGAATTTAAATAAACATTTAAATAAATTTCTAACAATTTTTTTACTTAAAATAAAAAGAAATAAACAATATATTATTGTAAAAATGTACAAAAAAAATTTTCATTCAACTTTTTTTAATTTTAAAATGAATGTCAGATAAACAAGCATAAGACAAGATAATTTCCTAGAGAACAAGGAAAATGACATTGAAAACGCATTAAACCACAAGATTCATAACATCAACAACAAATAACAATTTTTTTTTGTGAGCTTTGAATATAAATAATAATGGTCATCAAAAAAGTTTTTTAATTATATTTTATATTTATATTATTAAAACTTTTATACATAAAGAATTTTGAATAAAAAAAAATTACCATGCTGAGCAACAGCAGAAGATATATTTTCACTGAGAACTTTATAAACATTGACCATATCCAAGTATATTCTACCCAATTGAATGACAAATGGATGTCCAATAGAGCGACAAGCACTAACATTTGTTTTTAAAATGTTCATTAACTGTTTCACAGTCTCAGGATCACGAAGGATGTTGATGTCTTTACTTGCAGATTGAATTATACCGTCCCAAATTTGATTAGGTAAAAACATGCATTTTTCTATTAGACGGTCTGTGACAACTTGATCCTTAAATACAAATGTTTTCAACTTTTAAATTCACCTAATCAACTAACTAACAATTAAGATTATAATGGTAAAAGCAAAAAACAAAAAACAAAAAGATAATAAACAAAAAATTCTAACTACTACTACTACTACTACTACTACTACTACTACTACTACTACTACTACTACTACTACTACTATTACTACTACTACTACTACTGCTGCTACTACATGTTTGTATTTATGTAACTATATATATATATATATATATATATATATATATATATATATATATATATATATATATATATATATATATATATATATATATATATATATATATATATATATATATATATATATATATATATATAATAGCTGTCTTCGGTTGGGTTTAAAAAACTTATTTAATTTTATACACAAATATATAATATGTAATAAGTAAAAATACAATAAATAAGATATTAGATTATTAAACAAAATGTGAAAAAGATATCTTATAATGATTTAACTATTTGCTCCATCGACTGAAAAAAATTTCCTTAACTTTAAGTTTGAATTTATTGGAGGCAAAATTCAATATTAAAAAACAGTCGTTATTATAATTTGTTAGCATGCATGAGTTTTTGTCTCTCCTGTAGTGTTCAATCATTTGTGTTTTGAGGTGGCGAGAAGCAATATACAAATTTATAAACCACGAAAAATTTTAACTCTACTCTAATTAAATTAAAGTTTAGATTTCATAGATGAGTTTTTGACTTTATAAAAATACCGGAAATTTTTCTCTATGAAAATCCTGGAAAATTATTTTTATAAAAATATCATAAAAATCATAAAAAATTCTTTATCGTATTATTGACAACAAAAACTTTTGTAAACTTTTAAAACGGAATTAAGATTATTTAACTTTCTACAAAAAGAAATTTTTAATATTCGAAAAAGTTAATTTGAATGAACTAAAAAGAACAAAAAACTGAAGAAAAAAATTGTTACAAAAATTGATCTCTTGAAAATTTCAATTTTAAAAAGCACATTTGTTTAAATGCAAACGTTTTTTTAAAATTTTATATAACTTTTTTTCAAATTAATAACAAAAAAATGCGGAAATTTCTGGAAAATTAAATTTAAAGTGAATTTCCAGAATTCCGGTAATTCCCGGAAAAAACTCATCTACAAGATTTACAATGTTTTTTAATGATAAATTTTAAACTCTTTTTGGTTTCAATAGATAAGAAAGTTATTGCCTAAATCAGATGCTGAAAGATCAAAAGCTTATAGAGCAAGAAATGGAAAAGCGCTGTTGAAAAAAAATTTTTTTTTTTTAAATGACCCATAAATAAATTAAAAAGAACAGGAACTAGTGAGGAATCCATAGCAATACCATTAATTTGGTCAAAAGTCTGTTTTTTAAATTGAAAATCTGATTGCAATGTTGTAAAGATAAAGTTTGCTTTTGCTAATTTTAAGATTATCATAACTGGTTAAAATTGAATTAACAGCAATATCGATGCTTTTTTAAAGAAGTACGTTAGTGTGGCTTTTAGTGTTGTAAGATGCTAAGTATTTTCCATGTATGTTAGCTTGATTCACATCTTTACGAAACTGAATAAACCTTTTGTACAAAACTCTTAAAGTATTATAGGTGACAGCAAATTTCTTAAAAACGTAGCTAATTGATAGTTATAGGTGCCAATTGACGAAACAATAGGTCTAAAACTGAAATTCAGATTTTGAAGATATAATTATGCATTTTCGGGAGACCAGAAATATGAACAGATTGTGGGCCAGAAGGATGAAGTTTTGCTATATACTAAATCATTGAAAAAAATCTTTTTTTTTTAATTTTCTTAAAAAGTTCTAAAGCTGTGTTTCCCTATAATTTAATTTTTCCTTTTTTCAAAATTTCTAATATGTTTTCATCAAAGGATCCTCTTTATTTAGAGCTCAAATCTTTTGTTGTTTTTTTAGTTTTGTATGTGCAGGATGTAATATAAGCGAAACTTCTGGCAACAACAAAAAAAGTGCAAATCTTTGCAATATATCATGTTGGTTAGCATATACAAAATTTAAAAATTTTACAATGGAAAATATTGTTATAACATGTTTGCAGTACTTGCAATACCAACATTTTACACCATTACATAATAAAACTTATATTTATATTATAATAATTTGTTATATAATACGAATTTGTTGTTTTTAAAAAGTTATTTACATAAACACTTTTTAAATATTTGCAGTAGTTAAATTTTTTAATATATAAAGTCATTATTGTTAGTTATTTTATTCTGCTATGTAATTCTGCAAAACAAATTTTTTTTAAACTGATAAATAAGCATGACGTATGTGGATTTGACAACTCAGAATACTTTTCAATTTATAAAAGAGAAGATAAAACACAGAAGATAAAATGCTACACTTGCTCGCTTTACGGCATCTGACAGGCTTTCATTTAATGTGATTTGTTCTTCGAAGAATTTACGGCTGCTCTAACTGCTACAGGATTCAGAAATCTTGCTGTACTACTATATAATTCAAAATTATATAGTAGTACAGCAAAAAAATAAGATTTTAGTTCATCAAATTGAAGCGCAAGAAAAAATGGAATGCAGTCTAGGAGGAGAGATTTCCTTTGTTTTTTGACAAACAGACATCACTTCAAAATTGTTGCTATATAAATATTAACATTCATGTTGCTATATAAATATTAACATTCAAACTTCTCACTTCTGGAGTTTAGGTTTAGTGCGAATAACAGGTTTAATGACAGCAGAAAAGGTGAGACCTAAAATTGAACTAAATGAATTTTATTATGGGTCAATCATAACAAAAAGTATGCAAATTAAAATTAATATTTATACAAACACCTACCAAGAATGACATCTTACAAAAATATATTAGAGCTAATTTTGAAAAAAAACTTTCTTTAATAATGGATTGCAAGACACCATAGAGCAGCCTCTTAATGCTTAAATGATTTTAACAAGTAAAAAATTGTATACAAAAATAGTTAATTGATATTACCAAGTCCAAGATAATTATGTCACATGATAAAGTGACAATATTATCACATGATAAAGTGACAATATTGCTTTAAAATTTAAAGCAATGTTGGCTGTAATAACAATTTTATGCATAAAAAATAAAAATTGCTGAAAATAACACAAGCAAGGAATTGCATACAGCTTTAATGATTCGTATACATTAACTAACTGATATAAATGGACTTCTGCAATACCTATGTAATAGTTGAAGTTCCGTTGAAATAATTACAGTGCTTTCTTCATTTTAATGTCAAAAACTTTAGGTAGAATTGCTGGAAAGATTAAATACTTCTAATCCTGCTCTAGTAAGTGCATCAGTTGAGTCTGATTTGCTGAATTTGATTGAGGAACCTGAAACGGTACCTAATTAAGTAATCCTCTAAGTATTGAAGAGGATCATGTTATTAAAGAAGGACAACTACCAATGCAACCAGTTAGATATGATAAATTGTTATCAAAAATTCAAAAAGAAATGACACTATTTGAAAATGGTGGTTCACGTGGCAATTAATTAGAAAAAGCTTATTCATTTCAAATACTGTAAAACGAACTAATGTCATTGCTGAGTGGGAATTTTCTTGCACTGGACAGTTCAATAAAAAAATTAGTAACCATTTGGTCGATGAAACTTTCAACGTGTTGTGGTTCATAAAACATAATATTTTTCAATATATTTTTGTATTTTTTGCTATTGCCTATTATGTTGTAATTAATAAAAAAATTTAATTTTTATTTAAAGAATATTTAATTTATATTTATAGAATATTAGAATATTATATTTATAAAATATAATAATATTTTATATATATATATATATATATATATATATATATATATATATATATATATATATATATATATATATATATATATACCATAGAATATTGGTATATAAAGTTAAATAAGTTTTTTAAACCCAACTGAAGTTGATTATAAAAGTTGAAACATGTTTTGCAGTTTTATTTGTTAAAAAATATGGTTTTAAAAATTAGAAAAATTTCTCAAATGTTATATGTATGTATGTATGTATGTATGTATGTATGTATGTATGTATGTATGTATGTATGTATGTATATGTATATAAATACGGCTGCGTATAAACTTTTTTTAAATATATATATATTTTTTCTTTAATATATAATTATTTCGATATTTCGCTGATCTATTGTGATCAGCGTCATCAGGTATAATAAAATCTCTGGTTTTATTATACCTGATGACGCTGATCACAATAGATCAGCAAAATATAGAAATAATTATATATTAAAGAAAAAATATACATATATTTAAAAAAAGTTTATACGCAGCCGTATTTATTGAATTCTAATTCTAAGTCTTGAAAAAAGTTTAAGACCACTTGGGAAAAACTGAAAATTGAATGAAAAAATTATTACAGTACAGAAAATAATTGGGAAATTATTTTTTGATTATTTAATAATAATTGGGAAATTGTGTTAACTAGCTATAATTGCCAAATAAAAACTTATACATGCTCAATTTTATTTAATTAATAAAATATGAAATGACAAACTTTTTAAAAATACAATTATTTTAATTTTTTTTTAATATTCTGTTGATAATCTATTGTGATCAATGTCATCAGGTATAATAAAGTCTATTATCATCAAGTATAATAAATAAAAAATGCTACAAAGAAAACTGTTTGCATACAGTTGATGTAAGTTTATATAATATTGAACTCTACTTACACATATTCAAACATAATTTTAAAAATAATTCTTACAGTTTGAGAGCTTATCATAAATCCAACAGCCTCATAAAAGGTGTGAACTTGTTGTGGTTGTAAGTCACATACAATTGAACTAATATTATTAAGAATTTCCTCAATAAATGGCATAACTTCACCTTGATTTACCTATAAAAACACATTGAACTTTAATTTTAAAAGTAAGCATTTGTGACAAGTAAACCTACATGGTAACTTTTAAACAATTTGTTTAGTGTGACAAATTTCACATCACATAAACATGACATATGGTTTTAAGTGACTGTTAAAAAAAAGTGTTGCCTTTAAATCAGTTCAACAATAAAATCTTAACTATTAACAACTATACTTAAACAATGACAATGAATTTCAAAATCAATCATTAATCATTTTTTTTACTTATACATTGAAACATTTTTTAATTAAACATTTTCAAACTGAGATGACCCCCAAAAATTAAACATTTTACATTAAGTGTAACATTAGGTATGAATGAAAATTTATTTAAATATTGTAAAGCAAACTTAATACTTTAAAATTTTACCTGAACAAAATGCCTTCTACATTTCTGGGCAATTTTTATAAATGTATCACAAGCCATATCTTGAACACCGTCGTGAGTTTCTAAAATTATTTATATTGGAACTATAAAATTATGTAATAGGTTTGTAAATAAACATTTCTGAGATATTCTGTTAGTTTAACAGAAAAGTAAAAAGAAAAAAAAATTTAGATTTAATTTTTTTTCCTTTCAGACAACAATTTTGATGGGTTTTAATAATATTGAAAGTTTTTTTTTCTCACAACAATTTAAACTGGGGACTTAAAATATGCAGAAGTATATGCTGATTTTGAAAACATTCTTGATTTTCATTCAAAATTAAAACCATAAAATTTTTTTTTTGTTAAAAACCCCCATTTTCTACATAATTTGCAAAAAAGCAACAATTTTATATTTTTGAAATTATTTTCTTTAACATAAAATTTTTAAAGCTAGCATTTCATTCTGCACCTTTTGAGTACCATGTTGACATAATTTAGTTAAAAACCTTTACTTATATTAGAACTTGTCATCTATTTTGATTTCTAATTACTTGATTCTTAATCCTAAAAAACTTTTTGAAAAAAAAAAAAAAAAAAAAAAAAAAAAAAAAAATAAATAAAGTGAGATTACTTTTTTACTCAATGAAAAAGATTTGCAACACTGGCAAACCTAATTTCAATTTTTTTTTTTAAATCTTTCCACCTGACTATGTAATCCACCCTTTTATGTAATCTACTTATATGGTAACTTAATAAAAAATTAAAGATTATATTAAATTAATTTTTACATGTATCATTAAGTCACAAAAAAGTAAATTTATATTTTTATGAATATACCACAATTTTCAATAAATCAATGTACAGAAGTAAAAAATATAGACAAGTTATAGTCAAAAAATGTTGCAAGAAAATATTGACTGTAGGAATAAAGGGGAGAGGTTGAGACATTTAAATAATATTTAACATTTTTAAAAACTGCATCATAAAACATACCATGCATAAACTCAAACAGTTTATTTACAACTGTCTTTAGAAATTTCCAATGTGCCCTACAAATACATATAATAAAAAAATAAAACAACTAAATTTAAAAGTAGATATTTGTTTTAGGCAAACAAACTTTCAATTGCTGCACCTTAGGAATCTTGGATATTGACCAACAATATACATGATGTTCGATGCAATAATAGCTTTGTTATCTTTTCCACGTTTCACTTCACACAAACCAAGTAAATCCTGAAAAAATAAATTTATATATATATATATATATATATATATAAATATATATATAAATATATATATAAATATATATATATATATATATATATATATATATATATATATATATATATATATATATATATATATATATATATATATATATATGTATATATATATATATATATATATATATATATATATATATATATATATATATATATATATATATATATATATATATATATATATATATATATATACAGCCCTGGCTGGCTACAAGGTTTACATAAAATAAAATAAACATAATTTCTAACTTTAAAGCTTTGATTCTAATACAAAATATTAAGACATTAATACTTATGCTTCATTTTTTAAATAACAACTTGTTTATTTAGAGATAATATATGAAAAAAATTTTATTTAAGTTGCTTCTCAAAATCTCAAAATCAAATAATAAATTTAATACAAAATTGCAAAAATAAGAAACAAAATAAAATAGCAATATATGCTATATAAACAATTACCATATGAGAGTTTAAAATTTTCAAGATTTATGAAATTAATACTTAAACTTTTCAGAATAATAAAATCAACTGACAAGTTATTTAAAATGTTTACAACTTTAAGGGAGAAACATTGAGTAGTCAATTTATATTGTATAACTTATATTTATGACATAAGTATAAATACAGTTGGTAATGAAAAAAAAAATTACTAAGCAAAACTTAGTATAATTTACTTAAAAATTTATATATTTATAATCAATAAAATTATTGACGAAAAAATATTTACCTTAATGACCATTACTAAAAATCTTTTTTCATCTTCTTCATGCATTGCACCACTTATAGAACCTATTGCCCAACATAACTAAAATAAAAAAAAATTAAATCCTAAGGTAAAACCTTTGTTAACAGGAAATTAAAAGATAAATAAGTGTGTGTGTGTGTGTGTGTGTGTGTGTGTGTGTGTGTGTGTGTGTGTGTGTGTGTGTGTGTGTGTGTGTGTGTGTGTGTGTGTGATAAATAAGTATGGTGCATAAATGAGGGGAAAATTTTATTAAAAAAATTTGTAAAATAATATAAAAAAGTAATTTTAAGATAATAATTATGAACTAATGAGCAAAAACAAAAACATAAAAAATAGCTACAAAAATATTATTATTAAAAAACTTTTTTTAATTACATTTTTAAAGGGATGCCTAAGTGCTATAAAGATATGATCTCATATGAAAGAGCATAAAAAAAAAAAAATGTTTTATGTATATTATTTTTTCTAAAACGTAATAATGAACACACACTAACAAATTTAATTTTCAAAAAAACGTTTTTCTTCGGTTAAAAAAAATCTGTCTTGTCCAAAGTTTATTGACTCTATTACCTCAAAAAACTAACGTTTGTACGTCAAATAAAACAAAGTAGACAAAATGTCATTATTGCAAACGTATTAGTTGGTAATTAAATTTAAAAGTTAAGTCATTTTTTTTCAACTAACACATAATTACTTAAAAAAAAAGTTTTGTAGCATTTGTAAAAATATATTTGTATATTAAAATTTTTTAAATAATTTTTATTTATATATTTGTGTTATAAGGGCAACTCCACGGCCAAAAATGAATAGAAGTCAAATTTTAAACTCTTTTTAGTCAGTTTTATACAAATTTTTTCTTTTTTTTAAATGTTGATTTTGGGTGCCCGAAGAAGTCCTTACGGTCTTATTTCAGAGCACCGCGGATGAATATTGATGTAGACGCATGAAAGTTTATTTAAAATATTTTCTTAGTACAAAAATAAATTTATTTCAGTCATTTTTATGGTTTCAAAATTGACGGTTATTCTCATTTTCGCTTGATAAAAAAAAAAAAAAATTATTGTAAAATGTTTTAGTTAAATTAATATTTATGTTAATTTTGCTATATTTTTTTGGTTCAAATTGATAAGGTTGAATAGACATTTTATTAGAGATTAAACTTAGACAGGCCTCGAATTAACGCAAAAAAATCTAATTGCGAGGGGAGGGAGTTGCGTTAGTATAAAATTGTCTCTTTAGCACGTAACTGTTATCTTTTAACATACTATCTCTCATATTTAAATGTTATCTTATGATTTTCTTGTTTGGCGGAGTTTAAAATAGCGTAAGTTACTGTTATAATTTACAACTTAATTTATAATTTAAAGTTTAAGTTGCAGTTACAGTGTATTGAGCAAGTAACGTATTTAATACTATTAAGTAATTGTTTTTGCTTAACATGATACTTAAAAAAGTAAAAGCAAAAAAATAAGAGTAAAAAGCAAACATTACTATATTTCAGTGACTGATCCAGGGGGAGGATGGGGGTATGCATCCCCCCCCCCCAGAATCTCAAAGTCTTGAAAATATCAAAGAAATTGAGAACCTTGTTTTTTGCTTTTTTTTTTTTTTAGGAGACGTAAACATGGTACAAAATTCAAAAATATTTTAACATCCCCCTCCACTAAAAATTCCTGGATCCGTCACTGCAATATTTAAACCACTTTAATCAGTCATAGAAAACTGTTTAATACGATCACGCTGATGATAAAACACGTGTTTTTAATGAGTTTTAATTATTGTAAAAAGCTATAAAACAACAATAAAACAAAAAGTCTTTAAAATATAAATAACTAATGTAAAACAACTTCGTGACGCTGTTTTGTTGCTGTTTTATACAATTTAATAATATAAAATGCGTTTAAAATAAAATTAAGCAAATAAATGAAATTGTTTTAATAAACAAATTAAAAAATTATTGTCAATAATTTAAAAAACATCGTCAAAAACCTAATAAAAAATTAGATACCACGTTTTTTATAATTTATTGTTTTTTGAATAAAGGACTAATAAAAGTTTAAATATAATGGTTTTTAAGTTGATGCTTTTATTCAATTTTTCTATTTTAATTGTTTTCCAACAAAAAGTGAAACAAAAAAATTTGGTTTAATAAATCGATTCATGTTTAAAATAAGGCTTAAAAACGTTAAAGTTAAAAAACTGCTGGTTTTTATTAGTTTCTCCGCGCAGCGGCCTTGTTCATCAAGGTTTGTGTTTTGGAGTTATAGAGTTAAGAGAAGGTTATAACCACAAATAAGTAGCCTCCTCGTCTGTAGTGGCCTTCTCGGCCTTGAGGAGGTGAATTAAAATAAAAAAAAATAAAAAAATTTTTATACTGTTTGAAAAAAACTAATAAAAAAGAATTAACTAATAATATATTATTAATAGTTATTAGAATTAATAATAATAATTTATTCTTTTTTATTAGTTTTTTTTTCAAACAGTATAAAAATGCAAATAAAAGTCAGCAATTTTTTTGTTTTAACGTTTTGAAGCCTTATTTTAAACATGAAGTTTTGATAAACCAACATAAAAACCAGGCTGTTTTGTTAGAATGAAGAAAAAATTCAAACTAACATCTTTTTCTTTTTTAACTTTAACGACCTTTTAAAAATTTTCCAAGCAGAGATTTAAAGTAATTTAAATTCAAAAATGTTTTACGTTGAAAGAAAATCTCCGCGCGAAAGAGCAAATCATCTATTCATCTATCTATTCAGAATAATAAATTTTGTGTGACGTTCTTTATGATGAAAAAATTACTTTTAAGAATTGCTAAAAAAAATGCTAAGCTAGAAAAAAAGTAATTAAACAACCAAAAAAAAAAAAAAAAATTGCAAAAAGATTTTTAAAAAAAAAAAACTAATCGCGAAAGTGTAAAAAGCAATCGTGATCGCGATACGCTTAATACAAGCGCTGTAAGACTTTTAGTTCAGACTTAGGTTCTGAACTATTTAAAACTATTACTTAATAACTTTTTTTAACGACGTCTTTCAACCGAATTCTATTATATTAATTTTGCAAAACTAATTAAAAAACTTGATTAAAACTTAACTATTTAATCACAACTTTTTTTTACTTGAAAATCGAAGTACATATTCTAAAGTTGTTGTGACGTACTAACGTGATTTTTAATGACTAACAATCGAGTTTCAATGGTAAAAAAATAAAATCAAAATGGAGTTGTTTTTCAGTGATTTCGGCAATTGCTTTTTGTTAGCATGCATTTATTATTACAATTTAGTGAAAAAGAAAAAAAAACTTACATATTTTTTTTAATGCACTTTCATATGAGATCATATGTTAGGAGCACTTAGGGATCCCTTTAAAAGTTTTTTTTAATTTTTTTATTATTTAATTTATTTTAATTTTATAACTAAAACTTTATATTTTCTAAATTTTTTTTTTTAACATTTTTTTTAGAGATCTGAGGTCATATAAAATGTTCTTCAATCATAATACTAAATAATATAATTTAGAACTGAAACAAAAAATAATAAATAAATAAAAAAGGAGTGAAAATAAATGTTTCTAAATCTCAAACTGCCCATAAATTCAACACAATAGTCACTTTCCAGCATTACAAGAATAAACAGAAGTCTGTGCAGTTTTATTAGATAAAACTAAAATAAAATTAGATTATATAAAGAACACCTTATCCATGGCAAACTAATAGATAAATAAAAATAGTAAGGGCTGAAGAATTGCTCATAGAAAAAGCATTTACCTATAGGTCAACTAGGCCATACTCAAGGACTCCACAATTTTAGGGGCCCAAAAATGTTACAATTTGTTCAGGTTTTTAGCTACACAACAATTCCCCAAACAAATTAACGTTTTGTATTATTGTACTATTCAAAAAAAAATTTTTATAAAACAAATTTTGGTTTTTAAAACCTATTATTGTTATTGAATTGAAATGGCTATTAGGTGGTTTTTTTCTTGTATACAATCCTTTCTACACAGTTGATTTTGATTTCAGGGTAAAAGTTAAATACACACACAAACATTTATATAAGAGGCTGATAAGGGTCAGCAGCTGCAACTAAGACAAAATTTCTATGAAAAGAAAAACTCCTATATAAAAATGTTAAAAAAACCTTAACTTAATTATGGTTAAAGGAAGGAGCTGTAAGCTTATAAACTTTTGATGGTAACCTTCTTAGTGGTAGCATAGCAATCAAAATGCACAGACCTAATCAGCAAAACAGGTGAATATCAATAAGGGCATCCATGGGAATGTCATATACAAGATAATGTTTAATTTACATTAGTTCAAACCATTGATGTTCAACTTTATGGAGAAAGAAGTTGAGATACTAAAAAGTCTAATTAGGGCTTATGATACAAAAATATATATTTAGGGTTTGATTTTAAGGCTAGCACAAATAAGTCTACAGTGTTAAAACACTGCAGACTTGTTAAAAGTTTTTCAAAGCTATACAAAAAAACTACTTTAACTATTGGGTTGAGATGTTAAATAAACTATTGAGACAAGATATTTAATAAGGTAGGATAATACTTACTGTATTAAGATTCTTCCATGACCATTCAGTACCATTTACTTGGTTTTGCAACTTTTCTGTCATAATATGTTCTGTATCTTGATAGTCCAGATGAGTCAAGTAAACTTAAATTGAAAATATAATCTAATAAAAATGAATTTCTGTTAATTTTAAAGTAGAACAATATCTAAAGCTTTTTGTAACTTTATTTTTTATAGTTACTAAAGTATGTTATAAAAATTAATTGTTACATTATATATAATTTGTACTGTTACATTAATTGTTACATTATATATATTCGGATTGTAATTCTGGTTTACCGGTAAATAGCTAAATTTTTCTTAATTGCTGCTAAATGAAAAAGTCAGTAAATTCACAAACCCCATTTATTTATTTACTTTTTAATACTATTAGTAAAGAAACTTACTTTTTTATTTACACTATAATTTTTTACACAATAAATTTGTTTTTACTTAAGAATTGTAATTAATATCTAATTGTACTTTATAATATCTAATTTTTTATTTATTTTTAACTTAAGAACAAAAATTAATATGCAAAACTTCACAATTATTTACCAAGTGTTTCTCTCATATTTTTGTAATTATCAATAGTATCAGTATCCTTCATAAACTCTCTCACAACTTCACCATGTTCATTCTCTACTACCAATACTTCCTCAGGCTTCGCCATTCGTGAGACCATTATATATCTAATCTGAATTATTAGTTAAAAAAATAGTTAAAAAAATCAAGTTTAAACAAAAATAAATTGTTTAATCAAAACAAAATCTAATTTTAAAAAAATCTGAAAATTTAAATAAAAAATAAGATTTTATAAGAATTTAAAAACACCTTGGATAAAATAGGCATGTAAATAATCCTTCTTGGAGTCATTCCTGCAGCTGAAGGAGAGCCTAAATGAGGGATTGGTGCAGAGAAAGGGCTTTCTCTATACAACTCTGAAGATATTGAATTCCAATATTCCAGACAGATTTTAAATATCTCCATATCTTCTACTTCTGATACAAGAAGCAAATATTGTAAACCCTAAAATCATTTTTTATTAGTAGTAATTTTAAAATATACCCAATAAGTTAAGTGAATTAAATGTTTTTACTTACCGAGTAAGTTAAGTGACTTAAATGTTCTACTTACCGAGTAAGTTAAGTGACTTAAATATTTTACAGTAATATCTACTACACCATATAACTTTTTCTTTTTAATAAAACTTTAAAATAGCACAAATTATCATAAATTAGATAATAGTTTGTGAATTTAAAAAAATCTTTATTTTTTACTAAGGAGATTTATTTGAATATCTTCTAAGCTTTTAAGATTCATACTTTTAAAATCTTTCATCTTGTTTTAATTAAAGAAATAAATTACTGGATTTAACCTGAAACTTCTGCCTTGATGTTTCTCTAGGTTTTGAATTTTATGACTAAATCACAGGCGGAAATTGAGGGAAATAAATAACTTTGGTGAAAATTTAGAGAATTTTTTTACAAACATTTTTCATACTTCAGCGATTAAGCTGACTAATTACAACAATAATTTAAATTACAAACATAATTTAAAACAAAAATTTTATTTTTATCTACCTCTAACAATGATGTTTTTAACTCAATCTAAAATAAGAACAAAAAACAAAAGCATTACTATTTTACATTATTTTAAAAATTAAACAAATTTGTATAAATAAATGATACCTAATATAAAATACAAATATTTAGTAATAAGTTTAAACATCAAATTAAAGTTTATCAAAACTTTCTAGAAAAACAATGTAGTATGTCTACAGGTGTTCCCAATTTTGGCTAGGTATTTATATGATATTTTTCTAATGTTTTTATTTTAAAATAATCTTAAAATAAAAATATTTAATATTTAAAAATTTAAAAATAAATATTTAAAATAAAAACATTTAAAATAAGTTTTGAGCAGCAAATCTCTCGACTTATAGCTTTTAGTATATATAACTATAGTAAGTTTTTGCTACACAAAGAGAAAACCCTAAGCCTAAAATAAACTTTACTCTGGAAGAACTATATTTACAATAACTTAAAAGGGACTGTAATCACATTACTTTAAAAGGGACTATAATCACATTACTTTAAAAGAGACTGTAATCACATTACTTTAAAAGGGACTATACATAAGCAAACTCTTGATTTTTTAAATAAAAAAAAAAAAAAATCAAGAGTTTAGCAAAAAAAAAAAAAAAAAAAACACCTTTTTTTCCAATAAGACACCATGTTCTTTTAAAAAACAACATAAAAAAAGTGCTAAATTCTGTATAAAGTTTTGCTCATCATTGCTACCATTTACATAAGCCAATTTTAAATTTGTAGTTAAAGGAAGCATCTAAAGATAAGAAAAAATTATTAAAGAAGTTAGCAATCAAACTAAAAACTTACTAGTTTTGAAGTTTGCAAGCAAACTAAATTTAATAAAAAAAAAAAAAAAACTAATTTTAATACAGAAATGTTTAAAAATAAAACTTACTTGTTTCAATTGTGCTAATGTTAAACTGTACAAAACAGTAAATTGTTCATTGTATTGTGCATTGTTAATAGATCCTAACACAATATAAAAATGTTCATTTTATTATGCATTGTTAATAGATCTTAACACAATAAAAAATTGTTTATTGTATTGTGTATTGTTAATAAATCATAACAGAATAAAAAAAATATTTAATTAGCATTTGCAAACTTGTATATTTGTATTTAAAGTTTTACTTGACGTTCAATATTTGGACAAAAAATTATTTATAATAAATTATCTTTAGCGAAAAAAGCAGCATGTCGACATAAATAAATTATATATAGCGCATATAAATATATAACTATTGAAATAAAAAAATGTTAAAGATCAAGATGTTAAATCGTCTTTTTGGAATGACTAAAAAATACACATGTCAGTTATAAAAATTACCTATTTCTGTTAAGCATTGAAGAGTAACATTGCGAAATACTGGAACATTTAAAAACTAAAAATAAAGATAATTATAAAAACAACAATAAAAAAAAAAAAATTTAATTTATAAAAGTTTGGAAGGCATTTGTTTCACTTTAAGTAACTTGACTTTCTACTGTTAAACAAAGGAAGAAGTAAAATGTTTTGTTTGTTATGCAACATGTCTGAAATTTACACCAGTCTATTATTTATTGAAATAACAATTATACAAGAATTAAACATAAACATATCTACAAAACCATAAACTAAATGTTAAAAAATATTTAGTAAAAATATTTATAATTAGAAATCTAAGAAATTAAATATCTAAGACTTAGATGTAAGAGATTTAGATCAACTGGTGAAGCAGAAGAGGCATCAAAAGCAAATAAAATGTGTGCTTAGGCTTAGAGAACCATCTTTACTTCTAACAGCAAGATGTGCATCATTAAAGATTAAAGGAAAGTTATAAACAACATCCATTAATAGTATTATGATGTATGGCAGTAAACCATGGACTAGGGTTTTGAAAAACAATAGAGACGATTAGATGCGTGTGAGTTACTAATGGTTACGATGATGGTGATGATGATGACTATGATAATAATGCCAGTAGTGCTTGTTTATGAATTTTTAACTTTTTTGTTTGACTAATAAATTAAGAATTGAAAAGTAATTTTTTCAAAAATATATTTATTTTGGATAATTATAAAATCACTTAATCTTTAAACTGTTTAATTTGATCCACTAAACACTTTAATTATTCCACTTAACATATTTTAAAATTAAGTAGAAATAACTTTTATTTATATATTTAAAATTGAATAAAAATTGATATTTTGCAAGCAAATTAGTATAGCAAAATGCATATACTATTAAGTGAAGTGCATATACTAAAATATATGAAAAATATATATAAAAAGTTTGTAAAATCTGATTTAAAAATGCTATAATTATATAATATAAGAATATTATATTTTTTTCTTAGATGATATAAGCTGGATTGCGGCAAAACTTACAGAATATTAGATTAATTATTCAATTATCTATTTTAAAAACTAAATATACATAGCTACATAAACAAATTATATATACATATGCATGTATGTATGTATATATGTATGTATGTATGTATGTATGTATGTATGTATGTATGTATGTATGTATGTATGTATGTATGTATGTATGTATGCATGTATATATGTACGTATGCGTGTATGTATATATGTGTGTATGCACGTTTAAATATATATTTACGTATACATATATATTTTACACTTACTTTATAAATAAGAGTAGATATGAGCTTAGTTTCAAAGACATATCCAAGAGGTATCCAGTTTAAAAATTTGAGTAACGTCTATAAAAAATATCTATAGTTAACTAAATTCAATAACATAATTAACAATCAATTAGAGAAAAAAGGAAACTGAGATTTCAGTTTCAAATTATTATATTTACAACAGTATAAAAAATTTAAATTATTACATAACTAAAAATAAAGTCACCTTTAATGTTGCATCAATAAGTGGAATATTCATAGAATTATCCTAAAATTTTTACAAAATTATATTCAGATTATGTTTACAACTAAATAATAATTAAATAGATACAAGAGATAAGTAAAAGCTATACGTTGGAAAGATATTTTAGAAAATATCTTTCCAACGTATAGCTATTCCAACGAAATATTAAAAAAAGATATAAAGAAAAGAGAATATAAAAAGAATATATAAGTGAGATTTCAGCGAATACCAATCAGAACAAAATAATCTTATCTATATGACTCACCATTACATATTCACACAACTGAAATATAGAAGAGAACTCTTGACACATGCTAAAAAAAAACTCTTTTAGTGTATATAGCATTGAGTACACCACATATTACAGAACAGTTACACGTATTTTACATAATGTATTTTACAAACTTTAAACAAAATATTATTTACATTTAAAAAAATTAAATAACTAAGAAAATATTTTCTATATATTCAATTTATCATACAACAATGTATCATATAAATTTAAAATCTTGTTATCACTAAGTAACAATTAAAAAAATAAAAACATAGCACATGTTGAGTTTTTTTTTTTTTTTTTTTAATTATACTTCACCTCCTCAAGGCCGAGAAGGCCACTACAGACGAGGAGGCTACTTATTTTGTGGCTATAACCCTCTCTCAACTCTATAACTCTGAAACATGAACCTTGACAAACAAGGCCGCTGCGCAGAGAAACGAGTTGAGCGCGGTACTACCAGGGACGTGGTGGGGATCGAACTCGGAACCACTCGTTTATGAAGCGAGCGCTCTACAACTACGCACTACTGAGTTGAAAGTATTTGAATTTATTGTTTTGAAATTCATTACGTCTAAGTACTACGTCCAAGTATTGTGCAAGTAAATGTTGCACATGTACTTGCACAACACAATTCTCTTGCAACATAACTAAAAGAGCAGATTATTCAAACTATTAAACTTTATTAAAGTATTCAACTTTTTAATATATAAATGTTATTTCCGATTGCATATTTTACAGATTTGATACAACCCACTAAATGTAAAAAAATAAAAATCAATGAAGCAGAAACAAAACTTTTAACTAAAAAATAAACTGTGGAAATATTAAGATATTTTTATATCTAGGGGTTGCTCAATGAATTTGATATCAGATTTAAGGGTCAACTGAAAATAAAAACAAGTATATTTTAATTTTCTTCTAATGCAAGGTTTTAATTATTTTTTTTAATTTAGTGTTATTTATATAATTTTTTTCAATGTTATTCAGATCGCTTACTTGTTTTCATTTGTTGAATGTTCACTTGTTTTCATTAATGCGTTCACAATTGTGTATTTTCACATATCTGGAATTAATGTGCTTTCAGTATTTCTCATGATAACATGATAATATTGCTTCATTAGAATTCTAGCTTTTTGTCAAAAGTCTAGAACCTGATCTGTAATAAAGACTAAAGATGGCAACTTGTACACTGTGATCACAGCTGTTGCTTGACCAATACGCCATACTTTATTTCTACTTTTAGTTTCCATTTATTTTTATTAACTTATCAAAATATTGTCTATTGTATTTTTAAAATATTTTTTCATTTGAAACAATGATTTTATTTGTAATTTTCAGGATGATGCAATAATATCGACAGTAGTGCAACACTGATGCAATAACTTAACTGGATGATGAAATATTACACTAAGTTGACTGTACTGCTTCAGTACATTCGACCATTTTCAACCATTATTAGCTGCAATAAAGCTAGTGTGAAACTAGAAGACATTAATTGACTAAAAAAAAAAAAAAAAAAAACTTCTAGCCAAGTCACTAAATTATTTTCCCAATTCAAAAAAAAAAAGAAAAAAAAAAAAAAAAAGGCTAAAATAAAATTTCATTTCCTGGTTAACAAACTAGTTGTTATACTAACAAACTAGTTGTTATACTAGAGTGTCCAATACTTGAGTACACTATGGAATTTTGTTATCCTTAGCTCCATTCTTAATATTCTATAGATTTTTGCAGGAGACATGCTAGAGGTATACACTTTACAGAGGCTTTGATTGGAGAGAAAATGAAGAGCCCAAGTAAAGAAATATAAACTATAAACTCCAGAAAACCTTGTGTTTAATTAAAAATGAGGTAGAGATAATGACCTGGTTAAGTTTAATTGGAGTCAACTTCAGGCATAAACAGTCACTGCATGGCCAGGATGTTTGGAGAGGCCAGCCAGGTTCACCTAAACATTTATATATACATAAATGCACACATAAACACACACATTTACATATCCACACACACACACACACACACACATATGTATACAAACACACAAATTCAAATATATTAATGTATAAATACTAACTTATACATCAACACTAATATGCAGTATATAAATTGCCATAGCTATGTTACACATTATTTTTAGTGCATTGCCCAGATTGAGTTCCTTTAACATTCATATTGGTATTCTCACTCACATATTTTTATTATATAACTGATAAATACTATCAGTGATAAACCCAGACCTGTTTTAGTATTGCTTTAGCAGTATGGGCGCCATACCGCTAAAGCATTACTAAAACAGGTCTGGGTTTTAATTATTTATTGCTTTTTTTATCAAAAATAAGAAAAAAAATTTTGGTTTCAAATGGTAGTATAAAAGTAATTTTTTTTTATTTTAGCTACTTTATTTTTTCTTAAGAACAATAAAATGAATTAAAATGTATGAATGTTAAAAAAGATTTTAAAAAATTAATGTTACGAAACTCAATTTAAAAACCTGTTAGGAAATTTAAAGATCATGGAATGTATGAAAATTTTTTAAAACTAATAGCCTTTTGTAAAAGTTAAAATTTTTGCTAATATTTGAATTAAAATTAAAATATAAATAAATGCGTTTATTAAATGCTTATGTTTTGTATTCAAATAATTATCTGTATATTTATTGTATTCTTGTATTTGAATATTATATAGACATAAGTTGTCTCTATTATATTCAAATACAAGATACAAGGAAATTTTACGCGATTTGTAAATGAAAATATTATGCGATTTGTAAATATTGATTAAAATTTTTTAAAACATTTAATAACTACTAAAATTAAAATTATTAAAATGTAGTTACTAAATATTTATTGAAAATTGTTTAAACAATTTTCAATAAATATTTATTTATTGAAAATTGTTTTAAGCATTTTGAACATTTATGTATTTGCAACTTAAGCCTAAATTAAAATCCTAAGCATAATCCTTAGCATAACTAAAGAAGCATATGCTTACGTCAATCAGTAAATTTATGTATTCTAAGATATACCTTTAACAAGGAGACTATTTTAAATTAAATCCTTATTTTCGGAAATAACTAAACAAGGTTTACTTAAACAAATTAATAATTAAAAATCATTGTCATGGCACTGGTTTTAACTAGGATATATTGGGGGTGGAGCTTCTTACAAACAACCGTTTTCCTCCCCTTCCCCATGATGCCAAAAAAACAAACAGTATCCACAAGTAAACCTTGGGTTAATCATTGACTATAGACCACAAAACTTTACTATTTAAAATCTTGGTGACACCATGTATTTAAAATATGAATGTCTTGTAAGCAACTCATACTTTCAAAGAAAAGAAATCTCTATAAGAGCTTTGGCAGTATAAACGAAAAATTCATCTAATTATGAAAACATTATTGTAAATTTAAAAAAAAATGACTTTTTTAATAGCACTTGACTTTTTTTTTTTTTTGTGGTTATTAAGGTGCTTTCAGAAATCCTTATAGTCTTATCACAGAGCATCGTAGAAGAGCATTTAAATAGGAAATATTATCATAGTTGCTGCTTAAAGGAGCTATCACTCTTTGAAGTTCCAAAAACCAAAACTTATTTTCGCTTGACTCGTCATTCAGCAAAATCACGTCCTTTTACTGTATTTTTCTCTGCATGCTCTAAAAACATTTATTTGTCTAGTTCTTTCCCCTGCACTTAAACCTTTTGGAACTTTCTTCCATCTTCATGTTTTCCAACTTCCTGACTTTTTCAACAACTTTTTAAATCTTTGGTCAATTATTTTTTTGCTCTTTTACTCTATTCTTTTTCTAGTTGTTAGTGAATTTAAATTTAAAAAAAGCTGACTTGGACTTTATTTTTAAAATTCAAATTCACTGGAAAAATTGAAAGTTCTTCCAGAAAGTTAAGTCAGAAAACTATTGAAATTGCATTAAACAATCTGGTTCTGAAGCTACACAAAAAACTATGACGACAAAGTAACAGAATGAAAAAAAAAAAAAAAACATTTATAGGTGACAAAAAATGTTTAAAATTGAGATGAATGACATGATAACAGAAATGCAGAACAAAGAAGATCAGAAACTCCTTTTCATATAAATTTTTTTTTTTCCAGGAAAGAAACCAAATATAGGCAACAGTAGGGAGTGGTGAAAATTGAAATATAAAGAACAAATTGTGAAAATATGGTTTAAAAAGTATTGAAAAAAGTTAGACGCTATTGCATCACATTTTGAACAAGTTCTAGAAAACATAATACATAGAAAACTGCATTCAGAAATATTTATTGACATAAAATAAGAATAAAATAAAGTTATTTCATTAGAATCAATGATCTTATTAATTTGAAATTTTTACAATACCTGTCTTTAAGATGTTTAGCTTTAGTCTGTGTCATTTGCCCAAGAGAATAGTCAAAAACTTCTTCACTAAAGAGATATCATTAGTGATATTTCATCATGTGTATAAATGTCTCATTTTATAAAAGAAAAAAATTTAATATGCTTATATCTAATATTATATATCTAACTAATATAAAAAGAAATAATGTATTAATCAGCCTTTGAAATCCTGTTTGGCTTTAGGCAATACTAATACTATGGCATAAACCGCATACAATCTGAACCTCCAAAAAGGTCAGCATGTAAAAAAATAAACAAATTTTATATACAAACATATATATGTATCTGTGTATATATATATATATATATATATATATATATATATATATATATATATATATATATATATATATATATATATATATATAAAGCACCGGCGTTACCGCAATTATGCAATAGATTTTGATAGCGATTTTTAGAAAAGGGATCGCGGGCAATTATTTATGATTGCAGTATTTAGTTAGAAAATTGCGAAGCGATTTTTTTCAATTACGATTAGCCGCTAACTAATCAAAATGCAACTTTTTTTGATTTTAAGGGCACAAAAATCTCAACAATTACGATTAAATCGCGTTTTAATCACTATTCTTGCAACATACCACTATTTTATCAAAAAATTGCTATTTGTTGCAAAGATCGCTATTATTGTCTAATATTTCCATAAACTCGAGAAATCAAATTTAGCAATTAAATGTTATACTTATTGTTATTCTTGCAATTAATAAACTCGCAAAAAATCCAAGTTACTAATTTAAAAAAGTAAGAACAGGAATTTGTTTCATTTTATATATATATATATATATATATATATATATATATATATATATATATATATATATATATATATATATATATATATATAATACAAAAAAAAAATTATATAAATATATTTTATGAAGAGGAAAATGCCTGTGATCTAGATTTTCTACAAGATGTGGAAGTCCTGACAAATCTATTTAATTTATAGATGTAGGTGTATCAATTTTAAAACTGATTTCATCAATTAACTCACAGGATGCGTTACAATAAGAGTTTATTATTTTTATTGGAGTTTTAGATTTTTGTGTGTTTGTAAAAAGCTTTGATTCTATTGAAGCCTTGTATTTTTGGACCCCTCTTAAAAGCTGCCTTTGAAGTTGATGGTTGAGGCTGGGAATCAAGCAGATAGATTGAAGGGTCCTGTGAAGGCTTTGGAAGTTTAGATTTGAGGTTCTTCCGGTTGTGGTTGATCAGCTGCCTCATCTTTACAAAATTTATTCCATAGCTTAATGTTTGATTTAACCACAGGATAATTTTCTTTGACAAATACCATCAATTCTCTGGATTTAGATTGTACTGCCGATCAGTGATTATTTGGCCACCTAAAGAAAACATTCTTTCGAATGAAGCAGAGGTTACTAGTATGCATAATTAGCTTCTTGCAAGGCTAGAAAGTAAAGGTAGCTCCTTAGCATTATTTTTCCACCATACTAAAACATCAACAATTTTAGAGGCTGATTCCAAGTCTTTGCTAATGTTTATTTCCCTCTGTAGTGGTTGAAGTGTTTCAGGTGAGCATTGTGCAACTTGAGACATTTTTTTTTGTAGAACTTTGTTTCCTAAGTCTCCTAAGCCTGTAGAACTTTGTCTCCTAGCTCCTTAGCATTATTTTTCCACCATACTAAAACATCAACAATTTTAGAGGCTGATTCCAAGTCTTTGCTAATGTTTATTTCCCTCTGTAGTGGTTGAAGTGTTTCAGGTGAGCATTGTGCAACTTGAGATATTTTTTTTTGTAGAACTTTGTCTCCTAAGTAGGGTCATCCAGGGGTAAAGGTTATAACAATGACTTTTTTCCCCCCAGTTGCTCATAGAATTGCGTAATTGTTGCATGATTTTAACCATACATTGAAATGTCATGGCAAGTGTTTCATCAGTGTTTGTTATTTCTGTCTTCATCATCTCACTCATTAGTGTTTGTTATTTCTGACATCATCTTACTCATCAGTGTTTGTTATTTCTGACAATGAGTGACCTTTATAAAATGTATGTAGAAAAGAAGAAACATCGAGGTAGTTCAAAGAAAATCCTTTGTTTGACAACCTTTTATCCATCTCAGATAGGAACGTCTCAATAAACTTACAAATAAAAGGATCACTTGCTCCTAAAATTTCTATTTTGTCTTCACCTACATTGTAAAGTGTTACGACATTCTGTTGAAATTTAGCGAGATTGTAACACTTGAAAACTGCCTCAACATGAACTATACTGCGAAGTTGATCTTTGCATGTACCTTCAACTGTTACTAATAAACTAGCTTTAATATTGTGAATTGAATTTAACATTCTGTAATTCGAGTTCCACCTGGTAGAAACAGGTTGAATGATTTTTGTCACTGGTACATTTGCAGCTGTACATCCTGCCTTGATTTCCTCCCAATCAAGCGAGCTCTGATATGTTTTTTGACTTAGTTTTTTGCATTTCTTTACAAGGACATCAAACCCTATGGTTTCTTTGACTGCATCCTTTAATCAGTTAAGATATGATCAGCACAAATCATGTGATTAGAACTTTCGATCAAGGTGCTTTGACCAACAGCAGACTTCATATTTGAAGCCTCGTCTGTTACACAAACTTGTGTTAAATTTTGATTAGCTAAGATTGGAAATTTAGAAATCATGCTGCCCAATCCTTTAGCTAGAATAAAACTTGTTTTTTTCCCAATAAAGTTTTAGCTATCCAAAGATAGATTTTTTAATTCAAAATCCTTGTTGATATAGTGGACTGTCAAGGATTCATAAGGGTCGTTGCTTCATGAAGTCTAACCATCAGATGTAAAAGCCACCAAACTGCAATCAGGAATGTCTTTTTTCAAGTTGCTTTTTCACTTGCTTTTTTATATTCTTGTATAACTTTTTTTTTAAACAGCTTTCAGATTTGCTTTAGGACATAGATAGTTCAGTAGCATCTTGATACCAGGACTTTCAATTATGCTAAATGACAAATTTGAAAGGACAAAAGCAAGTGTAAGAACTGTATCAAATTCTAGTTGTGCCTCACTTTGTAATGACCACTTCTTTACCTTGGAGAAATCATCCAATGTGGTTTGTCTTATAATTAAGAAAAACTGTCTTTGACAAATCGCAAAAAACGCAATTTTTTTTAAAAAAATCGCTGATGCAATAAATTTTGAAGCAATTTTTATAGAGCAAATTGCTAGGCATTATATTGCACATCGATTTTTATCTAAAAATTTGTGTGCAATTCAATGCGATTTTTTATCGCTTTTTATCGCATAATAAAAAAAAAATCGCTTTTGTACTAACTGCCAATGTGGTAATGCCAGTGCTTAATATATATAACTGTGAATGCAATAACATCTCTTAAATTATCTTTAATATCATTTATGTGATGTTTGTTTAGAATATATAAATTCTTAAAATAAGCATTTAACCCTGCATATTTTTTTTGTTTAAATTTTTTTCAAATTAAAACACTTAATTTTATGATTTTAAAAATTTAAATTTAGTTTTAAAGGAATGTAAAATAGTTTTGTTTTTTTCTTATCATCTGCTAAATCATTACGTAAAGAATAAATCTCTTCATCATAGATAAAAATATGCAAATGCAAATAAAAAACTACTTTTTCTCTTTTAAAAAAAAGAGAAACGTTTTTGTTTAAAAGAATTCTTTTCACAAATTAATTTAAAAACTTTTATTTCTGATTACCTTGAAACCATTCTTTAGTCAATTTTTTAACGTTTAATTCAATAAAGTTTTTTAAACAATTTATTTATGAATATAAATTTGGTTTACTAATACCTTAATGGTAACAAAAATCTCTCTATAATTTCTATAAATTTATAATCTTTATTTAAAAAATTACATTAAACATGTATACAAAAAAAAAAATAAAAAAAAAAAGTTGTGATAATGTTAAGAATAAGATTGTTTTAAGAAATAAATTATAAGGAAATATAATCTATTTAAGAAACAAATTATAAAGAAATATAGTCTATTTAAGAAATAAATTATAAAGAATATAAATTTTTGTTTTATAAGTTAAAGTGATTTTTAATGCAGTTGAAAGTTAAATTTAATTACAATGCAGTAAAATAATACACTTAAATATACACTTATGAATTTTATTGATTTAAATATCAAAGCTGATTAAAGTTACATTTATTAGCATTAAGCATTTTAGTTGGGCAATAAAATCTCATGCAAGGCTTAATATATATGATATAATACTATCTAATTGCAATTTTGTAATTTACTTATTGTAATTATTAGTTTTTTAAAACCAGACAAGTTATTCTAAACAAAAAAACAAAAACAAAAAAAAACAGTTACAAATAATGTTTATTAAAAACAAATGTTTTATTGAAATGTAAAAAAAAAAATTTGAATGAATTAATAACCTAGCTATGCTTAAGCATATTCAAATTAATAATTCTTGAAAATCCTTTTAACAATAAAAACTTTAGAATATCATACCTGAGCAGTTTTAGAATAATAAGGTTATTTTTACAAAGACTTTCATTTGATTTACTTGCACCAACAATATCACTAATAAATGTTGGCCAGTGCTTCGGCCATTCTTGCTTTACAACCTGTAATACAATGTTAAACACTAACATTTTCTTTAGCATTAATATATACATATATATAACAATATGGAGTATGTGATAAGTTTGTTAAAAGATGACAACAACATAGCTCACCTATGTTGTCGTCACATGATAATTTTAATAGATTACTGGTTTTAAATCTACAATATTAAAAAAATAATACTGGTTTTAAATCTACAATATTAAAAAAGTAGTACCTAGCAGCATAATGCTAGACACTAACTTTCCCTGCTCTACCAAAATGCTATTTTGACTTTCCAACTTTTTTTTAAAACAAATAATAATTACATTGTTAACTTAACTAAATAACAGTTAACAGTTTAGTATTTCATGGTTAAATTTATTGGGTTGTTGTTATCATATGGAATTTAGTTAAATTCAACTTGATAACCAACAACCAACCTTTCTAAATTAAATGCCATATTTAATGTTAGACTTTTTCATCGTTAAAATTTTAGAAGAATTATTCTTATGTTTTTACAAAATCTTGATATTTAATTTACTCACAGGTGTACACTCGTGGTAGTCTGACAGTGCCAGACAAAGTAATAGAACTAAATTTGTCAACAGAAAAAAAAAAAATAATAAATACTTTGACAGGCCTTTGAAGCGTTAAGCATACATTTTTATGTACATGTTTATTAGTTTTATGTTAAGTGAAAACATTTTTATTAGGGATTTTATTTAAGGATTCTATGTCAAATCAGCAGGCTCATGTCACCCCATGTTTTGGATTTTGCTTATTTTTTTATGTTATACGGTATACGAAAATTAGGAAAATTTCTAAAATTTGGCACCTCATAGTTCTTGAGATATTCAGAATTCAATTTTTTTATTTTTATACCTCATTTGGTTCATTAAATGTTGTTACTTAGCAACAAAAAAAATGTTGTTATTTAACAACAACAAAAAAAAATACTTTAACAACATTTTATGAACCAAATGAGGTATAATCCTGAAATTTTGTACATTTTCCACACAGGGGATAAAAATTTCAAATTAAATTTTTTTTTACCAACTTAATTACATGTAAATTAGATAATAAAGGCATATATTTTGGGGTATTTTGATGGTCAAAATGATGATGTCACCTTGATAATTTTGAAGCATTGTTATAACTTACAATATAGGTTTAAACATCACTATTAATAAAAAATATATTACTGCATTTTTTGACTTTTCTAAATGCAGCCTTTTAAGTAAAGCTTATATATATGCAGAGTTAGCATAAAATTTATAGCTAACTTTTTTATGACAAAACTAGCTATCTCTTAAATTTATGTTATTAAAAGTTATTGTTAAAGTTTTTTTGAGGGCAATAATAAATTTATTTATTATTGCCCTCAAGGAAAAGAAGGGGGTTTCTCTTCCCCCCCCCCCCACCAAAAAAAAAGTATTATTTTCTAAAAAATATTTCCATAATTTAAAATTTTGTTTTGTTAAAAAAATTTTTTTTGAGCTTTTTGAAAGCCTTTTGGAGCAATAATTAGAAATAATAAATTTATCTATTGAAGCTAATTTTTTTTTAAAGGATAAACATCTTTTTAAGTAAAAAAACTTTACTAGGCTGTAATCCAAATGCAGTAACATTTTTATGTCTTTTATAAATAAAGCCTTTAATTTCCTCATTATTATTTAATTGCTTCAATTTAGATTTCATGTTGTAAATATTAATTTCTTGTTACTTTGCAGGAATTTTATATTTACTTAAATAATTAATGAATGTTATATGATTACTACATAATTAGTAAATAAAATAAAATTGAATTACCTTTTAATCATATATAAGAAAAAGTCATACAATATAACATATCCAAACAAATGAAGTTTATAAATAATATTCCATAAACAAAATAATGCGAATGGTATTTCTTATATTATATTCCTAGGATTTATTTTGTAAAGAATTTCAAAACTATATTTTTTGAAATAAATTAAAAGTTACTGAAAATTATAAAAAAGTAATTCCATTAGATTAAAATGTAATGTTGACTACCACAATCAAGGTTTAACAAGAAGACAAGGTCTTTTAGACCTTATCAACATTTTCAAGTGATGAAAAACACAAATTATTATGGAGAGCTTGTTTAATTGATTGTGGAAAATTGTTAACAACAGTTTGCTATTATCATGAGAACACTTTGGAGTTTTATTTGAAAGAAAATTTCAGAAATATTGTAATCTATTTAAAAAACATGGAAATCGAAAGAAAAGCATAAATGGCAATTTTGATATTATTTTGATGATTATTTTATTCATCAAAATAATATCAAAAATAATTTTTATATTAGTAATTTAAATAGTAATTAAATAAACAATAGAAATAATAAAACAAATAAATGCTTTTTTAAGAAACAAATTCAAATCTTTTTATAAACCTTCTTGTAAATTTAATGTGTGGATACCTAATGAGCTGATATCACCAGTGATTTTTATAGCAAAGAGAAGCACCAGTGATTTTTATTGCAAAGAGAAGCAATGTATAAAAAATAAAAATATAGCTTAATAAGCCTATTGCATTATTCCATTTACTAAAACTTAAACATCAAAAATAATACAAATATATTAGACGCTTTTTCAAAATATTTTAGTTTAAAATATTTTAGATAAAAAGAATATTTAGAAATTTTAACAGTTGTTAGTAAAAACTTTTTAAAACTCATTTTTTTAACCAGTTAACCTTGACTGGCAAAAATTCATTTTGGAAGGTCAAAACAGTAATTTTGGTTGTTTCCGGTGGTCATTGACTGTTGACCACATATTATTTCATGCTCTAATATATATATATAATATATATATATATATATATATATATATATATATATATATATATATATATATATATATATATATATATATATATATCAACTTAAATCCATTTACTGGAAACATACTGCATTGCATGCAAGTATGTTATATATATATATATATATATATATATATATATATATATATATATATATATATATATATATATACTCATTTATTTCTGGCAAGGCCTGCATACCTATATATAAAATGTACTATACAAGCCTTCCCAGGAAAGGCGTGCAGTTTTTTGTCTTGTATAACCACGTATGAGTATTTTAATTTAGACAACTTGGTCACAGCCATTTGCAAGTTTTATATGCATTGCTGAAAAAAAATTTAAAAGCAAAGAAAGCAAAATAACAAAATAAGAAATTAAAATAAACTTAATTAGAAAATAATAATAATAGTTTAAATAATTCGTGAACTGTTTTTATATTTGTTTCTTCATAGTGGGTATTAGCGAGAAAGTTATAAAAAAACAAAGAAAACAATAAACTTACGACTAGTAAGTTTATTGTTTTCTTTTTTTAAACTTTTTTTGCAATGATTATAATAAAACTTGAAAACGGCTGCAACCAAGTTGTCTAAAATAAAATACTCGCATGTAGTCATACAAGATGAAAAGCCACACGCCTTTTCTGGGAAAGCTTAATTATAATACAATATGTGTTAAACAAATTTA